GTTGGATCCTTTTGGTGTGACTACCCCAATTACATCAATGTCCCAGACTGAGAAAGGCCACGGCGAAGTCAGGTTATGTAGTAATGATGCCGGCACATTCATGAGATTGGCGTGAATTTGACACGTATGACATCTTTTGACGAATTGTATATAGTCACTTTCCAAGGTGGACCAGTAATACCCTTGTCGAAGAATTTTTCTTACTAGCATCACTCCATTAACATGAGCTCCACATTCTCCTCTATGTACGACATCCATAATTCTTTCCCCTTCTTCCGTATCTACTCATAGCTTATGCGTTCCCAGATGTCCTCTTTTGTAGAGCTTCCCTCCACACAAGATGCATTGGGTGGCTAAGCGCCGTACAACTCTTTCATCATTTTCTATCACCCCTTGTAGATAGGTGTATTTCTTTATGAAGTTCCAGATGTCGTAATGCCACGGGTGTTCGTCTTGTACTTCCTCTATTGTAGCAATCATTTCGTAGGTTGATGCATATCTCTGTTCTATAATAATGGGCTTCATCTTGATCCTTTCAGGAACGTCGACCATAAAGGCCATGGTGGCCAAGACGTCGGCAAAGCGATTATTCTCTCTTAGCATATGGGTGAACGTAACTTTCTCAAATCTTGGCAACAAACAATCCAAAGTTTGATGATAAATTTTCATCTTTTCTTCCTTGACTTTTCAATCTTCTCTAGCTTGTAAGACTACCCAATTTGAGTCTCCAACAACATCCAACTGTTTTTCCCCAAGTTAAAGGGTTGCCTCCAATCCGATAATACATGCTTCATATTCTGCTTGGTTGTTTGAAACTTCAAAACAAAGCTTGAAAGCCAAAGGATAAAGAAACATTAGTTACAAATAGAGCAAATAGATATGGACAGATATTAATTTTCTTATTTTATAGGTATTTATATAATAAAAGTGTGATAACCCTTGTCACGACCCAAACCTGCCCTTAAAAGTTCGAACATGACCGACCTGTATATAGGCCTAAAAAAAAAATAATTAATAATTATTTTACACAACACTGGGGCCTAAGATGGAAGCAAATATAAAGACGAAATGAAACGTCCATTGAACAGTGTTTAAATGCCAGGATCTTAATATACACATCATATACATAGAGAATTTACACAAATAGTTCAAGTCCCATCACGTCATGTCATACAAGTCTATACAAAAGGGGTAACAACCCCAAATTTACATATACCAATGTATCCATAGCGTAACATCATGGACTTAACAAAATGTGGTATACAAAAGAACCCACAAAAGCAAAAAGGCTCCACTTGGGAAGCTCAACAAAACTGGTTCGACAAGAAAGCTCCTGGGGCTGACCTAAGGCTAGCCTCTAGGCTAATCACCTACATCATATACATAAATATAGAGTGAGCAAGGCTTAGTGAATAATAGCAACGTAAGGAGAGTTATGTGAATGAGCGTAATCTTGTAGAGCATAATCATAACCATAAGTCATAAGTCGGTCTTATTCGATTTAACATTTTTGAATGGCCTTGGGCCTACATAAGACAGAACGGCCTTGGGCCCAACATAAGACAAAACGACCTTGGGCCCATCATATCAACAGCTATTCGGAACCTTATAGGATAAATGGAACATCATCATGTTTCCATCACCCTCGGTCTTAGAGCCATGAATCATAAATAGTCCATATCAAAACGGCCTTGGGCCCATTATTCACAATCAAAGCAGAACAACCTTGGGTCCATTACATACACGATTGTTCAATCATTTCCGTTATTCTAACTAACACATTTCATATAACAAGCACCATTCACAAGGAAAAATATAAGAATCATGTTCATAATACATTAATGAAATATATCATTACATTACTATTACTCATAGCGATGTAGTTGAGCAACAGTTCCTTCTGGCATGTGACCTACACAAGGCACACACACACACTTGTATGTCATACACTTTACTTTGACCCTTTTCATTTGTCCAATTCGTTTAGTTTCCATTTATTCGTAAGCACGTTAGAAGGCTCAAATATACATATTAACAGTTCCAAAGGGTCAAATAGAGAAAAAGAAGTTGACAGAAATTCTTCCCATTGGTCACATGTGCGAAAGTTCTCCACTGCACGTGCGGAAAGGTGTGCTGCATGTGCGGCTTCACACGTGCTTTTATTTCAGAATGCCTTAGTCTGCCTCTCCTGTTTTCCGCACGTGCGGCTGTAAGCCCCGTACGTGCGACTGTGCCTCCCGTACATGCAGCCATGAGCCCCGCACGTATGGTCATGGGCTCTGCTTTTTAGTCTGAAACTTCAATAATTTAAGCTTTCAAGAGATAGTCATACAGCCAAAATCAAGTAACTTTATTTTAACAACATAGCATATAAGCTCAATAAACATGAAATTCCAACCCAATAAGATCAAGACTTGTTTTATTTGGGGCCTTTACACCTCCAATTTCCATGACTCCTTCATTTTTCATCATATATATACATATATATATTTATATTTCCATATTTACATGAGCTCAAGCATGCAAAAGGGTAAGATTAGGCACAATTTCTCTCAATCCAATACAAATTAAACATAATATAGAAGAATAAACTTTTCCATCATACACATCCAAGAAATACATGATCATTTATGAGATTTGGTCATTCACAATAATAACTCATAACCCTAACTTCCATGGACGACAAATTTCATTTCAAAGCTTGATTCAAAACAATTGAAGAAGGATTGACAGTTTACTAGTGATTTACACTCACTTTAAGTTGTATTCTTCAAATCCCCCCAGCAAGTTCTTCAATCTCCAAGCCTTGATTGATCTCTTTCTTTTCTTCAAAATCTCTACCAAGAGATATTTTAGAGTTGTGTTGACTAAGTCATCTAAAGTTCATATGTATATCTACCAAGGCTTACTAGTTAAGTCAATGGGGGCCTAAATTATATCAATTAATTCATTACGAATCAAATTTTTACAAAACTTCATATTATATCCTAAAAATCACGTTAATTGCAACAGTAAAGTCAATTTCTGGTTATCGCACCTCTAAGGCCTCCAATTTCTAGCCCAAAGGTCACAATTTTAACAGATTTTCTTATAACCAACAGATATAAGTTGATATCATCTATTTTACATATGAAAACATAGAATTTCATATCAAACATATATAATCACGTATAAGAGAGGAAATTAAAGCATAGGAGAGGGTCGGGTTATTACACTCTTCCTCCCTTTAAGAAGTTTGGTCCTTCAAACTTATTTTACCTCAAGTTGAAAATAGTTCCGAATACCGTTGTTTCATTTCCTCTTCTCTTTCCCAAGTGGCTTCCTTCCCGTAATGTTCTTGCCATTCAACTTTTACCATTGGGATTGTCTTGTTTCGTAGTTGCTTCACTTGTTGGTCCAAAATTTGAATCGGTTTCTCTTCATAGATCAAGTTGTCATCCAAGGTAATCTGATGGTAATCTATGACATGGACGAGTCTTGTAAGTAACCCTGTAATATAGATACATGAAACACGTTATGTATTTGTTCCATACTAAGTGGAATAACAACACGATAGGCTATCGAACCCACTCTTTCTAGAATTAGAAACGGACCAACAAATTGGGTCATTAATTTACCCTTCTTACCGACTCTTGTATGTCCTTTCATCGGGGTAACTTTCACAAAAACATAATTATCCACTTCAAATTCCAAATCCCTTCGCCGATGATCCGCATAACTCTTTTGCTTGCTTTGGGGGGTTTTCAACCTTTGCTGAATGGTTTTAATTTTCTCTATGCGTCAATTGCACAATCTCAGTCCCAAACAACGATCTATCGCTGACTTCGGTCCGACACATTGGAAAACGACATTTTCTTTCGTATAACGCTTTATAGGGTGCCATTCCTATGCTTGAATGATAACTATTGTTGTATGCGAACTCCGCCAACGGTAAATAAGTTTCCCAATTACCTTGGAAATCTAAGACACACATCCGAAGCATATCTTCCAATGTTTGTATTGTTCTTTCAGATTGGCCATTTGTTTGCGGGTGGAAGGCCGTACTGAATTTCAACTATGTTCCCATAACATCTTGTAAACTTTGCCAAAATCTTGACACAAATTTGGGATCCTTATCAGACACAATTGAGACTGGAACCCCATATAGTCGCACAATTTCATTCACATATATAGGAGCAAGCTTATCCGCATTGTACTGAGTTTTCACAGGTAGAAGATGTGTTGATTTAGTTGGTGTATCAACAATAACCCATATGGAGTTCATACCTCGGGAAGTTCGAGGTAAGCCAACAATGAAATCCATCATTTGGTGTTCCTACTTCCACTTCGGGATGGGGGAGAGTTTATAGTAAACTTGATGGTCTTTGGTGCTCTGCTTTCATTTGTTGACATTGCAAACATTTTGACACAAATTCTGAAATTTCTTTCTTCATACTAGGCCACCAAAAACTTTGTTTCAAATCTTGGTACATTTTAGTGTTACCGAGGTGCAATGTAAACTTAGACTTGTGTGCTTCTTTCATCAACCTTTTCTTAATTTCTGGCACATTTGGGATACACAATCTATCATTGAATTTTAACACAGAATTTTCAAAAGTGTACCCGGGCCTTGACTTTGTTTCCATCCCATCACAAATTGTCTTTAGAAATTCATCTTCTACTTGCCTTTGTTTAATTTCTTTAATAAGTGTCGGTTGAGCTGACATCATTGTTAATATTGCGTCTTGACCATATATCACAATTTCTATATATAGTTTTTCCAAATCAAGTAGCACCTCTTTTCACCCCGTGTGTAAATTTGCCAATGTCCCTGTACCTTTTCGGCTAAGAGCATTCGCAACTGCATTAGCTTTACCGGGATGGTAATGGATTTGGAGATCATAATCCTTGATAAGCTCTAACCACCGTCTTTGTCGCATATTCAGTTCTTTTTGAGTGAAGAAGTACTTGAGGCTTTTATGGTCGGTGTAGACCTCACACATTGTACCATACAAATAGTGTCACCATATTTTCAAAGCAAATACCACTATAGCTAGCTCCAAGTCATGTGTGGGATAATTCCTTTCATGCGGCTTGAGTTGACCAGAAGCATATGTGATAACCCATCCATTCTGCATAAGAATGCATCCCAATCCTTTATACGAAGCATCACTATAGATCACGTATCCCTCAGTACCAGATGGTAGAACAAGAATTGGTGTTGTAGTTAACCTTGTCTTCAACTCTTGAAAGGCGGATTCCGTCTATTCTGACCACTCAAATGGAATACCCTTCTGGGTCAATTGGGTAAGTGGCACAACAAGTTTAGAAAAGTCTTTAACAAATCTTCGGTAGTATCCAGCTAAACCCAAGAAGCTACGCACCTTCGTCACATTCGTAGGAGTTGGCCAATTCACAATAGCTTCAATCTTGTGTGGATCAATAGAAACACCCTCCGTATTTATTACATGCCCCAAAAACACCACTTCATGCAACGAGAACTCACATTTCTTTAATTTTGCATATAGTTTCCTATCTTGAAGTGTTTGAAGAATCAAGCGTAGATGGTTCTCATGAGCTTCCATATTTTTTGAATAAATGAGGATGTCATCAATAAACACAACCACAAATTCATCCAAATATGGCTTAAAGACACGATTCATTAAATCCATGAAGGCTGCTGGTGCATTGGTAACCCCAAACAGCATAACCAAAAATTCATAATGCCCAGATTGGGTTCGAAAAGCAGTTTTCTCAATGTCTTCGGCTTTGACCTTCAATTGGTGATACCCGGATCGTAAATCTATTTTGGAGAAAACTTGTGCACCTTGTAGTTGATCAAATAAATCATCGATCCTAAGCAAAGGATACTTATTCTTTATGGTTACTTTGTTAAGCTCTCAGTAGTCCACACATAATCTAAGGGTGTCATCTTTCTTCTTTACAAAAAGAACCGGTGCACCCCAAGGAGAGGTACTTAGGCGAATAAACCCTTTATCAAGTAGATCTTGCAACTGTATTTCAATTCTTTCATCTCAATCGGTGACATTCTATATGGAGTTTTCAAAATAAGTTGAGTTCCTGACACTACATCAATTGTAAATTCAATTTCACGATCCACTAGCTCTCTTGGTAACTCCTCTGGAAAAACATCCAAAAATTCATGGACAATTGGAATTGTATCAACACATACATCCACTGGTTGTCCATTCAAAATGCTACACAAATATCCTTGACATCCCTTTTGTATCAATTTATACGCTTTCATTGCCGAAATCAAATAAGGTGGAAGGGTCACCCTATGTCCCGCAAAAGTAAATTCAGGTTGTTTCGAGGGTCGAAAAATAACATGCTTAGACAAACAATCAATAGTGGCATGGTATTCACTTAGCCAATCCATCCCCAAAATTATATCGAAATAAGCTATGTCAAGAGGAAGTAAATCAACATATAATTGAACATGCCCAATCAAAATCTCACATCCGGAAGTAGAAGTTCCAAACTCGGTTTCTTGCTCGGTGGTGTCACTGATCCCCTTGGAGCTTGGGTATTCTGCCTCTTCCCTTTCTACTCTGAGACCTGATTTTGAGCAACAATATTACCCTCAGCTATTATTGCCCTTTCTAACACAGCAACATATGTAGGCAATTTCAACATAATGATCCAGTCAAGAATGGCATTCCATAATCCTTCCTCAAATTTTCTTGCCTTCTTGTAGTCTGTATCCACCATATGTGGTGCGAAACGGGCTAATTCTGCAAATTGAGCTTCATACTCTGCAACAGTTTTATTCCCTTGTCTCAAGGTCTCAAACTTGGTCACTTTCTTATCTCACATACACTGTGGAAAATATTTGTAAGATAAAAGCTCCAGAAATAGGGCCCAAGTCAACCCTTGGTGTTCATTTCTCGTAAGCATCCACCATCTACGTGCTTCATCTTCAAGAATGAAAGCGACAAGTTGTACTTTCTGGGCTTTGGTGCATGGAAAGACCTCAAACAACTTTTCTATGCCCAACACCCACACCTCTGCTTTTATTGGTTCAATCCCCCCCTTGAACAAAGGCGGTTTCATTTTCTTGAATTCTTTCATAAGCGTAATTATTCGGTCCTCGGCCTGATAATCTTGCGCCACTGGCGGTGATACAGGCACTGGTGGCGGCGGTGGTTGTTGTTGCTATTGCCTCAGAGTTTCTGCCATTTTCCGAATCATCCTTTCCATTCTCTCCAACCGTGTAGAGATAGAATCCTTCGAGTCATACATCCTTGTCCTCACCGTGATCTACATATCAAAAGATTATAATACACATAAAAGATACACAAGTATACATCGGCAGTATGCATTTCATGATACATGTCATTAATCATTGCAAATACAAATCTCATTGCTATATGTCATTTTGTATGCACCAAGAAGTAAAATATATGTAACCTAAGTCTTTCTAGACTCCTTAAAGCTCAATGGACTCAAGTGTGAGATAACAACTTGTGCTCTAATACCAACTGTCACGACCCAAACCTTCCCGTGAAAGTTTGGACATGACTGACCTGTATATAGGCCTCAAAACAAAATAATTAATAATTATTTCACACAACACCGGGGCCTAAGATGAAAGCAAATATAAAGACGAAGTGAAACGTCCATTGAACAGTGTCTAAATGCTAGGATCTTAATATGCACCTCATATACATAGGGCATTTACATAGATAGTTCAAGTCCCAACACGTCATGTCATGCAAGTCTATAGAAAAGGGGTAACAACCCAAAATTTACATATACCAATGTATCCATAGCGTAGCATCATGGACTTAACAAAATGTGGCATACAAAAGAACCCACAAAAGCAAAAAGGCTTCACTTAGGAAGCTCAACAAAACTGGTTCGACAAGAAAGCTCTTGGGGCTGACCTAAGGTTGGCCTCCGGGCTAATCACCTACATCATATAAATAAATATAGAGTGAGCAAGGCTCAGTGAATAATAGCAACGTAAGGAGATTTATGTGAATGAGCGTAATCTTGTAGAGCATAATCATAACCATAAGTCATAAGTCGGTCTTATTCGGTTTAACATTTTTGAATGGCCTCGGGCCCACATAAGACAGAACGGCCTTGGGCCCAGCATAAGACAAAACGGCCTTGGGCCCATCATATCAACAGTTGTTCAGAACCTTATAGGGTAGATGGAACATCGGCATGTTTCCATCACCCTCCGCCTTAGAGCTATGAATAATAAATAGTCCATATCAGAACGGCCTCGGGCCCATTATTCACAATCAAAGCAGAACAACCTTGGGTCCATTGCATACACCATTGTTCAATCATTCTCGTTATTCCAACTAACACATTTCATATAACAAGCACCATTCACAAGGAAAAATATAAGAATCATGGTCATAATACATTAATGAAATATATCGTTACATTACTATTACTCACAGTGATGTAGTCGAGCAACAGTTCCTTCTAGCACGTGACCTACACAAGGCACACACGCACTTGTAAGTCATTCACTTTTCTTTGACCTTTTTCATTTGTTCGATTTGTTTAGTTCCCATTTATTCATAAGCACGTTAGAAGGCTCAAATATACATATTAATAGTTCCAGAGGGTCAAACAGTGAAAAAGAAGCTAACAAAAATTCTTTCCATTGGCCACACCTGCGGAAGTTCTCCACCGCACGTGCAGGAAGGTGCACTACACATGCAGCTCCGCACGTGCTTTTATTTCAGAATGCCTTAGTCTGCCTCCCTTGTAGACGTGCCTCTGAACTCCCGGCTCTGCGCGCGAAGGCCCGAATTGTAGTTCTAGGCTACTAAAAGTTCAGACTCATGTCACGGTTCTGAATCTAATCTCACAAAGTGCAATGTGAGACTGATAAATCACCAAAGAGTCCAAATCCGGCAAATCGTTTTGAAAAATTGATTTTTATAAAGAAGTGCCAAACATGGACTGCTTTGCAAGATACAAAGTTGCCACCTAAATATTTTATTTTGGGAAAATTTATAAAACCATGACTCGTGCCTAAGGCCACGTGTTCGTTATCACCAAAGTTGCCTCGGCTCGAGAACTTGGGTACGAGAGGGGAAGGTCATGCAATGAGCACCCCCGCTCGCCCGATCAAAGATCGGCCTGTACTAAGCACGATATTTTATTTTTGAAAACACATGTGCTCTTATTCCGGTTAATTAGCTAATCTTACTACGTGGTGCACACAGCATACAAGTATAGACTAGATCGCCTAATTTGGAACAAAACATTGCATGTTTGTTTGTTTGAAAACAGTTTGAAGTTTGTTACTCACAAGTAGGCTAAGACGCAGATTTTGATGAATTGTTCCAATTCAAGCAATCCAACCTTCACCCACAGGCAGTTAATCAAATAAGTAGTTAGCCTTATGGCAAGCATGCTTTCATGGCAACATTAACACACATGCAGTATGCTAAAGCGTAAACACTCACAGTGTACTCCGAGCCAAAACAAAGAACTAGTTTGAAATCATGCATGATCCTAGTTCATGTTAAGATGGCTAATGCAACACATGCGAAATGCAGCTAAGATAGGCTCGGCTATCTAGAATGTCATGTGAAATACAACTTGGTAATATGCTGTTAAACACGTATTCAAGTAGATGTATTGAAAATACAATGCCGTTTGTATGATGCGCCGAGCCCGGTGCATGCGAAACAGATGAATGGATGCACACATGCGAAGCATAAGGTATGCTAAATGAAACATGCCCTAAAACTAACCATCGTAAGCGGTTAAGGAAAAGGGAGAAAGAAATGGGAGTTAGAAGACATGCATCACGCACACGCACGCTTATTACAACAATTGGCCCTCTTGACGGAGGGTCCGAATAAGAAGCTAACTAGCTAATCTAAGCTAATTAAACTACTTATTACACAACGAAGCTAATTAACTAATCCTAGTTAACTAACTATTACAAAACAGTTTCATTAGCTAACTACGCTAGCTAATTAAACACGAGCAAATAGCTAAACACATTAACTATTTAGGTACAAAACCAAAGCATAAACTAGCTAAGGAAAGCAGTAAAACAAGGTCCTCAGAAGGAGAAGAGTGCATGCATGCCTGGTCGCCTCGTTCGGAAATCTGTCGCGATGCCCCAATTTACCTATGTTTGCAGCTGCTCTCAGAAACTTGCACCAAGCTCCAGATAGCTTCTAACTCACCTTGGGAACCTGTGGGAGGGTGGCTGACCAGTTGTTGGTGTGGGAGACCACCTGCTGACCACTTTTTGCTGTTACAGGGCAGAGAAAATGGTTGGCCAGCTAGTTTTTCTGGCTAGCCGACTAGTTGTTGCTGCATGTTTCCACTTTGCTGCAACAGAGAGCAAGAAAGGGCATGGCAATGTATTTGAAAGATATGTGTGCACAACCACCCTCCCTATCATTTCATAAGCTCAAGGGAGTATGGTTCTCGACCCTCGGGCCACCAATCGCACATTTCAATACATGATGGCCAAGAGGCGAAGTTGCATAATTCAATATGAAATGAATGCACACATAAACACATAAGGGCTAAAACTCTATCATGTACGATCAACAGCGTCGGCAACTGGGAA